CTATCCCAGACTAAAAGACGGAAAATACGGTTTTACAATCGATTGCAATCAATATTCACTAACATTTTTATTGTTTTTGTGTCGGCAGAAAGCGTAGCCTATTAGCCAGACAAAAACGACCAAATCGTTAACCCTATYCCAGACTAAAATGACACCCTATCCCAGACAAAATGTCAAAAACTGATACCCTACCCCAGACCCAAAAGCCGAAAAACCATACCCTATCGGCACATAACCGTATAGCAAATATAGGGGAGTACCCCTCCCCCCCTGGGCTGAATCTCTTCATAAGTTCAAATGTACACTGTAAAATTTAGAGCACTGAAGTTCACGTGATGAGACTGCGCAAATCTTAATCTGCGTCACGGAGGTTTTCAAAATGCGTCCCACATGGAATGAAGTGGCAATGGGAGGGTAGTCATCAGATGCACACTCGAATAATTGGGTCTACTGGTCATAGCAAGGGGTTAATCATCTATRGTCTAGGGGCCGACTAACCTCTCCCTTAGGCTTCGGCCGAGCTTCCTGATCAGTTTGTAATTCCCCCCGGGATAGCGGTGTTGGGGCAGAAATCTCCAGCGTAGCCGTAAGTCCATACGACGGTTCAGCATTCGATGTCTGGAAGTATGGTCCTGGTTAAATTAGTCAATAATAGTTAAAATAATCCCTAAAATAATCTGACGAGTAGATGAAGTCTAGATTAGGTCAAATTTGTGTGCATTTGTACATTGTACCTTTGCAATTTGTACTATTTTTGGAATTAGAAAACTTCCTTAGAAAAATATTTTATGTACAATTTACAGTTGTAACGGTGATCCAAGATAAATTAAGGTGTCCCGAGCAAAAAGAGCTCCTTCAAATCCAGTTTTACACCCTCAACTCTAGCTCCTCCCTTACTTTATAACCAGTCCTTAATAACACAATAATATAACCAATTTTTCAAATGATTTATTTCATATATATAAATATTTTGATAAGTTTACAAACAATGGTTCACCTTAATTACAATGGACCCTTATTCTCAAAAGTATTGTGGATGCGAGGCTTCAATACATGAAATACAAAAGAAATCTCTTTCTTGATGAAATTTGTGGCATTTCTTTTGTATTTTTATGTTAGCCTCGTATTCTTAAAATTATAGCATTCCACCATTCACAGGCAAATGTACAATATAGAATATAGTAATTTTTTATATATTTAATTTAATTAATTTGCGGTTATGAAATTGCAAAACATGAAAATTAAAACAGCTCTTCCTTCTATCTTGAAAACATGTCACGTGCTGGGCACTAAAATCGCACAAATATATGTATAGCATTTATAACTAGAAAGAATGTGACATCTTATTCCAAGAACTTTTGAAGTAGAAAAGAGATGGTTTTAATTTAAATTTAAGTTACATACCGAGTCAGTACCGGCAATTTAGTCCACGCCATTTTTTTTTTTTGGTCAACTAGTATCACTTGAAACTAGACAAATGAAAATAGTTACATTCAAAGAATCGTATTTCCAAAGGTATGRCACTTTATACCTTGAGTGAATCAGTGCATTTACTATTTATATATATATATTTGTTTCTGTGTGTGGGTTGCCTGTGGTAGCCAGTGTCTCATAAACCTTCATAATTTATTTTCTGATTCATCTTCTGAGTTTGGTCTGCTGTAGACCTCATTGTACAACTGACTTGTTAGTCTCTGCATCTCGTTATGTGATTCGCGAACTTCCTGTGAATARAACAGAAAATGTGAAACTATTAGACTATTAAGGTTACTTTGAATCTCAGTTAAAAATTGTTCTGCACGTCTCGATACAGTAAAGGTTAACGAACTATACATAATTTTAAGCTTATAAAACAGAGAATACGATAATTTGTTTTTCCTATAAAACCTTATCTTTGACGAATGCCGTAAGTTCGATCTTAAATCTCGGTACGCTTACATAAAAGAAAAAATGAAGTTCAAAATTTCTGTGTCATATCAATCAGCACATGCATGACTTCACAACTATGTTTGGGGCTTAGCAATATAACTTTAATTTTTATGCGAAGAGCATTCAGAGTTCAGTCAAAAACTCAAGTAACATGAAACCCAACGTAAAATCATAAAAACTAAGGTCTTCATAAATATCGATCGGGGATCTATATCTCTTTTATTTATTCTTTCATTTTTGCATTATTAGTGCATTTTTGCATTATCAGTGCAAAAGAAAGCTGCAGCATACAGAATGTCTTAGTAAAGGAATGTTGCAGTAGAGAGTTCAAATGTGCTGCAATTGAACGCTTAGTACTAACCTGCCGTGTAAATTTTCTTGTGAAGAATGGAAGGAARTACTTTGCGTCAAGCTTAGTGAATCCTTTGAGGGCTTTTCGTTGGATTCTCCATTCATCGTCCGTCAGCTTATCSGCATCCAGTGCTGTGCCCTGGATAACGAAAGCGAGATTTGCTTAACGAATAATTACACTTATTTTCAAGGTTTTGGTGGAAGTTAAACATGGAGTGTCCATGTCATTATACATAGGTACGTGCCCTAAATGTTTGTGGCATGGCAACACGATGATTGAAAKCCACAAAAGCCTTTATTTATTGCGACAAATGGGAAATTCAGTGGGTACAAGTGCACCCCTGACTTTSTCACTGGGAATACCTTGAAAATTCGGAAAAGATCATCAGTGTGAAAGAAATTTGCTAATCTAGTGGAATATTACCCGAACTCCTTCAATCAAATAGTTTGGTTTTCCCATTTTTATTCTTCGTTATGAAGAATGGTTAAAGGGAGATACCTATAGAACCCTTGCATGTGACGTCAAAGCAACTCAATCTGGGGGACAAAATAAAAGAGTTCCCTTCTCTCGAGGATGGATATCTTTTATGATGTTAATATGTTCGGCTGTTTTGACCCCCAGGTAGGGATATAGTGCAAAGGGTCAGTCTAATAACCCAACTCAAGATCCTGGATATGATCATCCCATGATTATATAATATGAATCTGCTCCAATCACTACGCTTCTTACCTCAGTCTCTGTTTTGCTCATCGTCAGTCCTGATGCAGCAGTATTTTCAGCCTTTAAAAACTAAGAAAGGAGATCAAAGACGACACGAATATAAGCAATTGAAACAGACCTAGAAAATAGAATTAATGAATGCTGGGTGTACGAGAAAATGGTGCTTAAGATATCTGGAATGAGAGCAGGAGAAATGAGAGGAAAATGAAAAAAATCCCTTCCCATAAATTTTTTTAGTCCCGAGATGGGGTAGGGGGATGTAAGATGAAGCATCTTACGTCTAAAAAGGATCTGATATAACATATAATTTTGTTGAAAGTATATCTGGAAGGACTTAACGCAAAGGGCTCATTATCCATGGAATTAATGCATCTGAACCTATGGATTTGGTACTGAAGTTTGGCATAAAAAGTGGAGCAAGTCTATCCTATATAATACTGACCTTGAGTAAAGGTAACGTGGATCCACCCAGAAATAGGATAGTAAATAAAACTATGATAAGAGTCGAGGTGATCAAAACATGRCGTTTTTCATCATCTAATCGAAGGTGAAGCACAAGGGCAAAGGCAACAGCTCCCCTTAATCCTGCAAAGCGAAGAAAAAAATCAAATTTTGTTAAATGTTGGGTTCCTAGAGCAGAGCTTCTTTACTTAGGGATACATATACTGATTTTGTGTTCGCATGTTACGTCATCGCCGCCATATTGGTGGTATTTGACAGAAGATTTCTCATGTTAATACCACCAACATGGTCACCAGTTGTGTGTGTTTTGACTCTCATAACAATGATTGCACATAACAATTAGAGTTTTTGCAGCTTAGGTCCCGAACACACAATGCTTTTTGAAAACTTTCYGTTTTTCGTCTCACAKAAAACACATCGAAAGCTTCGCRTTCACACTAGGCGTTTTWKCCCGTAACAAGGCATACCACTAYGCAGACAGGGTCACGCCAAAGTCACGGCACTGTCAGACCAATYACATTGCKCGAGAAAAACATCAGCCAATCAAAATTCTAGAAAACATCACGGTCATGGCAAGGCACACATATGGCTATAAGCTTTTCACAGTCATATGAAATCTGCTCTATGCGGCACGGCTCTTYCAAACTATGAGTTTTCATGGTCATACGAAAACTGCTACATACCACTGAAAAACATGATAAATTGTGTTTTTCTGTCAATCTTGGTGTCTCTGAATTGATTGACAAGGGCAGAGAGTGGATAGATGTTGACGGCCCGACCAAGAAGACATAAAATCTAAAAAGACGAGAAGGAATTCAGTCAGGGTAAACAAGAAAAGTGAAGTCTTTTGTTGAACTGGTATTGTGTTCTGGAAGATACTTTCTTGCGTATTATGCAGTGTTAGAGGTGTCCTATCAGTAACTATCAACACTGTTCTGGGGTTGAAGAAAAAACTGGTTGTTGGCATTGCAGTGCATTGTGGGACTGTTTTAGGGGACCTATTTCCAAGATGGCGTCAATTTGTCTCCCAAAACATAACCACAATGTTCTGTAATGCCAACTCAGCCCAAATTATTCCACAACCTTGGAATGGCTAAAGCCAAACAAAGAAATAAGTGTGTTTCCTGTTGTGCGACCGACCATAATTTTCTTGCCRATTTTTGCCGACCCTAATATTTTTTTCATTTCCAAATGCACCACAGGGTTCCCAGTGAGCTCATTTCCACTGTCATATCAGTAAAAAAAAACGACCTACCGACCCCAATTATCCAATTCTTTTTTTCGTGCAACAGGAAACACACTTATTTTTTTGTTWATTTTTTTGTGTATTTTATCACACCTAATATAGCACTAGTTCATAGCTGTAATGTTCCTTTAAGCTAAATGTAGTATTTTTCCCCAACCATATACGCATTGTGACTGGTTATATTTCATAACAATGAAAGCACTACACATGTAAGTGACTTACTATACTCCAAATAACAAAGGCTGGTTTAAACTGATGCTTGAAGCTGAATATGGCCATACCAAGGTATGCAAACACACAGGTTTCTGYCATTAAGACACAGAATATCAGTAATTAATAGTTTAAGGAAATATAAAACTTTAAGCTGAATGTACAAACTATGATTGTGTAGTTCCAAAAATGCTTAAACATAAAAGYGTAAACATAAAAGTGTTTTCACATGTATGAGAGGCTAGTCAGTCCAGAAAAAGAGTTATTCAAATTGGTCCCCACATTTTGATTTGGTGTATTGACCAACCCAATTCAAGCTGTTAAAAAATCGGCTCATGCACCCAGGATAGGTCTATATAAGATTAAGAAGAGATTATAAAAAAGCAATGGTGCAAAAGAAAGTGTCTGTTGGTTGTAAAGCAAGCATCRATGTGCCAGTTGAATGCTGTAGGTATATTGAATGTATTATTCTAACGCTGTGTTTTGCTTACTTACCTGCCATGAAAGCTGCAGTTCTGAAGATCTGTTGTACCGTGATCTGAGTCATTGGTGACAGGTTGAAATGGGTGTAGTGYGACATACAAATACCACAAAATAATATTGCCATGATGCCTAGCAAGGAATACAAAACAAGAATGTTAAGCAAAATAAAACTATGCTAATGATGGAAAGAAACAAATGCTGGGTGTCAAATGACCTATCAACCAATTTTCACTCCCAATAAAAATCCCTTCCTGTAAACTGCAATTTGGTAGAGGGGCTATGAGAAGCTATGACCCTCTTAATTACCCGTTCTGAAGTTGATATTAAAAAACTGGGTGGAGTTAGCACTGCAGGGGGCTGTTTCAGGGGATAAAATGGCCACCATTTTGGATATACATGTATGTCCCTAATTAAGACAGCCCCAAAATGCACTGCAATGCTAATTCAAACAATGTTTTTGCCATCAACCTTGAAATGGATAATACAACAAACACCTTTTTGGYGTGATCAACATTAACATGCATTATCACCCAAAGGCATTTTCTGATATGACAGCCCATCCAGATGCTAGACTTTGCAAACATTCGCTATAAATAATATATAATTCCCCTATGATGTCTGATAATGTCTATATGTAGAAATGTTGTATTGTGCTCACTTTGCTAACACAAACAACTTCTCTGCATTTACAGTGAGCCAGTCTGTGCTCAACTACTCAAATAATGACCTCCACTTCACAATTGTTAAAACAGTCATATTATACCTGACAACTGGAGCCCCTCTGCCAGACCATATGGAGCATAAGAGAATATCAGCATAGTAGCAAGCTCTAGGGATGGTGTGCTGCGCAGATCAACATGCTTTAGGAGGTGAGGAAACGTTAAGGCTAACATTATTTGAAGGGTGTATAATATGGCATATGGCCCAACAGATGCATAATCTACAGTGCACATCAACCAAAGAATCCTGTATGGAAATACAGTAGATACTGTAGATTTGTCCTGCCCTTAAATCTGGAAAATAACTCTGGGTTTGGATAGTTATCCTTGGGTGCCAAAGCTCTTCTATTGTCACTGGAGTCACAGTATTTGGTTTATGATTTAAGGTAATCCAGTTAGAGAGAAGGATTTTTAACATTCTCTCGTTGTTGTTTTTTTTTTACTTCTTTTTTGTTGTTGACATTTTTGAAGCAGTAATGCCCCTAAAAACGAATGCTTCTAATGGTTTTTAATAGCATCGATATTCAAAACATTATTTAAAAAATAGTACTTATAAGGATTATCCTGTAGAAATTCCTTTATTTCCCATAAACAAATGACTTTTAAGTAATAGATAATGTATTAAAGGATATCAGTGCACTGAACAAAGCAAATGCTATGCCAATAGCTGCAGATCCAGCAAACATGACCATAAAGTTAACAATTGCAGAGAAGAACGCCTCAAATGAAGACATGCTTGCATACTTTGGACCACCAAGTGAAAGAATTGTACTGAAACACAATAATTATACAATCAAGATGASATAAGAATATTCCATGACAAGCTTGTGAGCTACAGTACCTGTGTTTCACATAATGTTCTTTAGATAATACAGTTTAGCTTTGTTATCTCGAACCCTTGTTGTACCCCCCGTGAACCCCTTCTTGGGAAGTACGGGAGGTATAGAGAGAATGCTGGAGCTCGCCTCTTACCAAGGCGTTCCAATTTCAATTCCCAGACTCTGCGTAGCATGTGAGTAGAGTTGCTCATTGGTTTTTCTTCTATGCTTTGAGGGGTTTTCTCAGGTTCTCTGTTTTTTTTGTCTCTTCACAAAAACTTYTAAATTCCAATTGGAATGCAGTGGAAGAATAGCAACTCTGTTGACCCACTGTTAATTTCCATTTTATGTTATTTATTAAACCCTGGGTATCTTGAGCTGGAGGCTGCATACCGTGTTCAAGCAGTCAGTGTAATCTAAAATATTTCAGATATCTTAAACCCTCATTATTTCAAACCATTTCCCTGGTCCCCAGGAGGTTCAATATATCAGGATTCTACTCTAATCTACAGTAAAGAAGACACATTTGTATATTATTTTAGCAAGACATACTTTGTCATGACAATTGATACTGCATCATTTAGAATACTTTCTCCAAACACCAACATGTTTAGTGTTGGGTCACAATCCAGTGCATGGAATATAGCCAGTGTCGCAACAGGATCAACAGCTGATATCAGAGAACCGAATGCAAAGCTGAAATAAAACAAAAACAAGACACTTAGAAACATCATTAAACATTTTAACTGAAGCCAGCAAAGGCTAAAGAAGGTACTTTCTTTGTTTATGAATGAAACAAATTACCTTTCTCTGAGACCAAGTTGAAAAGCTACACCTCCCTATAAATGAAAGTATGATACATCAACTTCAGATAAAAGTGACTTTCAGTCWTCAAGGAATGCACAGCATTGCAAAGTTTGTTGGGCCTCTCCCTTGAAACAAGTGTTCTTCTCAAGGTTCTCTGGTTTTCTTTCCTTCGCAAAAAATAAGATGCAAAATTCCTATTTCATCTGAGTTAGCAGTACCCTGACTTATATCAGCCCAGATGTTGCTTCAGGGTATCAATAAAATTTGAAGGTTTTTYGTAGCGTGGAGAATTCATAGAAGAAACAGAAAAAAAGTATTTTTCCTTGAAGACTAATAATTTTCTCWTGTGAATATTCCTTATTGATCAGTACCCTATCTTGTGGTTTAATGAGATCACATGTAATGGCACACTCAGCAGGATTATAGATATCCTCCATCATCRTTTCTAGATTAGTAGCTTACCTTTCCCAATAAATAAATACCCCCTCCAATGACTAAAGCAGATACAGCTGTACCGAACACAGCATATATAATAATGGAGCCAATGTTTGAAAAGAAATTTCCCTGAAAACATAATAAAAGAGAATCATTATATTTTGCTTTAACAAATGTCTTTTCCAGTGTCGTATGTAATTTTTACCACTGAACTGAATGTACATACATACATACATACATCTTTATTAAAGTGTCTAATCGTTCTAGCGCCAAAGGCACTAATTGG